GCCCCAGTCAATCGACAAACGAGGACAAGCCACTTGTACCCAGCTGAAAAAATTACGCTATAGCTGGTCAAATTTCCATATCTTAAAAATATTTTCTAGTAAAAATTATCTCCGAGGACAAAATAGATGACAATCCCCAACGGATCGGTTATTCATCTCAACATACTCAGAAGCACCGAAATACGATGCGAAAAATTTGAAAAAAAAAAAAAAAAAAACAATGAAACCTCGTAAAAAAACCAGTCCTTGTTTACTATAAAGAATGAGCTCCAGTGACTCTTCGTAGGTTCATTTTTAAAGAGAAGTAACGTTCGAAGCACCACAGTGATGCTCATCACGTACCACGGGCACCTTGGAAGCCTTGTCAAGTGCTTCAGTTTGGAAAACTGCTGAGCTCGATCCATTCAAGAGACGAAACAAATGCCAGGATTGCCAGCAAGCTACCGTCAGAGAACAAGGCAGTGGTCAAAGATAACTAGGGAAGCTTGCAGCCGCACAAACGAGGAACCAAACTAAGGATTCGCAGCTGACCCAAAAATTCCATGAAGGGATAGCTTCAGTAATTATTCCGGTACCGCCACCTACGGCTAGGCCTACAATTACGAGCGCTCCGTCTTACTGCAACCTTGTCTAAGTGGTAAGCGTAAAAAGAATTTCACTGGGAGATAACACACATGGGGGCGTATCACATGAAATACAAATCTAAAGCGATCTGAAAAATTCTACGCATAAAGTGTATAAACTTACCAATCGATATCTTTAAAATATGACAATTTTTCGGGTGTTATTTCTGACAGAAGAATACGCACAAACATTTTTCCAGCCAACTGCAGCCTCCTTTCTAACTCCTATAAAATGTTTTAGTAAAATTAAAAGTATTCTGTTGGAAGCGGAGACAAAAAATCCGACTTAAATTTAGCAATGTCCAAGACAGTAAATGAGTATACCTGAACAATTTTCGGATTTCCCTGCCTGCCGAGCGAACCTTGGATTAGTCCAAACATATGGCATTTTTTTGCTGCTTGCACTGCCTCATTTCTTCTGTTAGCCATCAAATTGAAATCATACTTTTCATGAGTGAATCTCCTAAACAAACGTTCTACATGGCAAACATTTTACACAGTACCATCTGTCAGTAGCATTTTAGTGAAACGCTCCAGATAATCAGTGTTGAGGCCGGACCACTGAATTAAGGCGTACAGCTACGGCTGAGCTTTCGATGCTTCGTGCTGAATAAGTAGACTAACACTTTCACAGTGTACTCATAATAATTTTCCGGAAACCATCCAAGTTTTTGTTCCCCTCACCCTAAATACCATTTGTCGGCACGCGATTTTCACTAGTAGGCAATGGAGTATGTAGAAAGTTTATCCTACTAAATTTCACTCCCTCACATGGCCACGTAAACATCTTGCACGTCCTAACGGAGAGTCTGATTGCTTATATGATCATGATTCAAACATTCCTCGAACGAAGATCGAGTTTTCGAATATCTACAAATGCTAGTAAAACAACAAAAGTAGTTAAAAGAACGAAACATACTTTGAATACGGATCATACTGGTAGGCACAAATCGATGGATTCTGTATCATTACTGATTCCAGATGAAACCTCCCATCTCCGAGATATCTGAAATAAAAAAGTGGTCAGTCCCCCACTGCCAAATGCAATATTAAATCAAAGCAAAACTTTATCCGCATTTCTCTCTGTAACAAGTAGACACTCGAAAGCATACACAGTGGTAGCAAGTAAAACAAAAAAAAAAAAGAATTTCCTGTGGAAAAAAATTACATTATTGCATCGACATCATTAGGCAAGCGTGGAGATGTGCAGCCAAGAATTTCACCGGGACTGAGAGGCTTGACTTGTGGCACCAGTATATTATAACCATCCGCATTCAGCTCTTTTTTTATACTCTGAAACAGAAAATTGTGCGGGACTTACAGGTTCCCTACAGGACTTTTTGATTAGTTCGTAGAACGAAGAGCAAAGAAGCCCCCAAAAATACGAAAATTGTGAAAGAATTATAAAATCAATGTTGTAAAAATGCGAGGTATTTACCTGCAAGGAAGGTACAAACTGGATTGTGCTCACCAAAGCATGCTTCTTATCTTTGT